GTCATTCTCTCTCCTCTCTAGTGGCGTGTAGTGCGCATGAACATGTAAACAAAACGAAGCTTTGCGCATCCACACCTTAAGTTTCTTTGGAGAGCAAACTTGTATTGCCCATTTCTGCCCAGCGCAAACCTTGATCTTTTTCTTGAAAATTCTTGCTCAAAGTGGTGGTGAATTTGTTTTGAAGACGTAATATAAACACTTTGAAGCTGTTCTTTTATCTTAACTGCTTTTTAAAGTTGGTTTGTGAAAAGTGAATGTGTTGTCAGGTCGTTTCGAAGTGTAGAACTATCTATTAGAAGTAGAAACAAAGAAGAAACTTAAAAGTCGTTTTCTCAAAACTTTGTTTCCATACCCTGCCTTACAAAATCACCCATATCTAAAAAACTGCTGAATATATCTTAAAATCTAAAAAAGCATATTGTTTACAAATGATCTCAGAACATGAAAATGCAAAAAAAACAACCTGTGGTTCTTCAACATGTGTCATTTGGTACCTTTCACCAGGCACACACACAAATTGCACTGTTAGCAGTCCAAGCCAATTCTCTATCTAAAATAACTTCTCTCACTCTCTTGTGACCTGATCTTTGAAAACTTTCAGTAAAAGGTAGCCTACCTGTAAACACATTTTAAAATAAGTATACTGTACTCCCATCCACCCCCTCCACAAAAAAAAAAAGGAAAAAAAAAGAATATAATTCCCTTCCTTCTTACCTTCCTTGAAGGTTTATTGTCCACAATCTTGAGGTTTTTCTCCTTGGGCCCCTCCAGTGTGTTCATGAGTCTGCGATGTAAGGCTTCGAGGTCTTGACGTAACCGGCTGCTGGATTCCTCCAGGGGCGCTGTTTTCTTCTTCTCCTCAAAATATTTCTTCTTCCACATATCTCGTGCTGAAGACGAAATGGTTCACAAAAAAAATATAAACAAACCAAATAAGACAAAAACGAAAATAAGAGGATTAGAAAAGATTTAAAAGAAACACATTTTTATTGGAAAGATGGAAAATAAATGGCTAGATGAAAAAAAAACAACTCCAAAAAACTCTGGAAAAATAATTGGCTTTTGTACGTTTACATATATCACCTTTTCCATATAAGCAACATGCTTATTCTGGTAGCTAAGATGAAACGGAAACTAAATTCTGTTAAAAATTCCATGATTTCAAGCCTCAACAGCAAGTGCCCACTGAAGTCCGCGCATTGGTTCAGATGTCGCTGCAGTCTTTGTTTTGAAGCTTTCTTTTGTTTCTCCAGAAGAAGAATAGGAATAGCATCCCCTTGTGCATCAGATGTTCTGGTGCGATCAGTGCGGAGTAACTCTGTTCATTAAGCGGGCACTTTTTTGAAGAGGGCGCCATCGGATTGTGAGGATATGTAATTAACTGGTTCAAAGAGAGGAGTGAACCATTTCGTTATACATATATATGTGTGAGTGTGTGTGTGTGTGTGTGTGTGTGTGTGTGTGTGTGTGTGTGTGTGTGTGTGTATTTGTACTTCAATGTGCTTGTACTTGCATTCAGGTGTATTTGGCATATTTGTGTGAGAAGGAGGAGAGTGTGAGTAAATGGGTACAAAAATTGAGAACCTAGGGAGGCATAGACAGAGAGGGATAAAGAGAAAAAGCACACACAAACACACACACACACATACACACACACACACAGAGAAGAGGGGGAGAGAGAGAGAGAGAGA